TTGTTTTAGAAATGACAGCTTGCCTGACAGCTGACTAGACACTTGGGACTTTCAAATAGAACTAGACACGTTCTCTGGCAGAGTCAGTAATGCTAAACTTGAGTCTAGTCTCCCAAAAGTACTTTATTTGCTTTCTTGAGCTCTAGCACAGCTCTTGCACAGCACAAATCTCGAATTTAAAGATTCTAATTAAAGACTCTAATTCAAATCATGACTCAAAGCCAGTGCAATCATGAGTCAAAGCCTTATTGTGCCAGTTGTCAGCAATTTTCTCACTCACGCTTGTGGATCGGCATTCTCCAGTTGACTAGCGGTCGGCTGTCGTCCATTCTCGTAAATTTTCCACCATTTTCTTCCACTGTTTCTTGTCTTGCGAACACCGATCACCACACAAACAATGCAAATCACAGTGATTGCCAAGGTTGGAATAACAATGATAATGATCAACTCTGAACAGATCAATTCAAAGTTTTATGTTTTCAACTTACTAAGGGCTGGGTTAGTGTCTCCGGGAGTAGTGGTTGTATTGATGGTAGTGGTTGTATTGGCTCTGTCCTGAGAATACACAAGATTCGTAAAGCAAAAGAGTATTGCCAGAAGTCCGATAACTTGTCTTCCCTCGAAAAGCTTGTACCGCATATTCAGGTGAATAATCTAAAAGATCTTGAAACATTTCTGATACTCAAATTCTTAAATAACCAAAGCTGCAATAAAGCCCAAGTTTGTTTTATAGGATTTTGTTTCAGAGTTGCTGAAGATAAATTAGCAAAGGATTACCAAAGCAAAACATTTTCTAAACATCACTGGAAGTGACTTCACAAATTTCTACAAGATCTAGATCAGCAAAAGATTAAACAACTCCACATAAACACACAAACGTTTCAAGATAAACAATCGAAAATTGTTCGGTTTTGAAATTTCTATCAATTCTATTAGGTTTCGATTTTCGAATTGATGATTCTAGACATAAATTTAACGAGGAGTCCGTTTCGGAGCTTCTCAAAGCGATTCAGAGGATTTCTTATGGTCAAAAGCTTGAAAACTCGTTTTCCCCGCGGGACGATTAGATATTAGATTCTCGACAATTAGATTTTAACAAAGTGAATTAGGTAAACTTGAGATGAATGACCTTTTTGTTAGTGAAACTTACTAGGAACAAGCAATAAAGACTATTCAAGTCTGAACTGGTGTATTTTTTTAAGGAAATTCTCTCGTTGACGAAGCATTGAAATTTGGATAGAAGCAAAGAAGTTACTTATCGAAAGAAGCCAAAAACTATGCAACGAAAACTGTGTAACGAGAACTGTGTAACGAAAATTGTGTAACGAAAATTGTGTAACGAAAACTGAGTAACGAAAACTGGGTAATGAAAACTGGGTAATGAAAACTGGGTAATGAAAAATGTCTAAAGAAAACTGTGTAACCCAAAGGGTGTAACGAAAACTGTGTAACGAAAACTGGGTAACGAAAACGATGTAACAAAAACTGTGTAACGAAAACTGTGTAACTAAAATTATGTAACAAAAACTGTGCAACAAAAACTGTGTAACGCAAACTGGGTAACGAAAACTGGGTAACTAAAATTGTGTAACGAAGACTCTGTAACGAAAGCTGTGTAACGAAAACTGTTCAAGCCAAAAAACTGTGTATTGCTCATAAATTGAAAGGAAAACACCAGAAAAAAGAGTGTGAAAATTAGCACCCGCAAAAATTCTTTCTGAAGAAACGAGCCTTATCAAGGTGTCAGCCTAGAATAATGACTCGAATAGGGAAAAGACGTGGAGGAAATCAGCTTTTCCGAGCCCATTTCGATCAATTTGGCTTATTTCCTCCATTCTGGCGCTATTAATCGGATCATGTTTAATTCCCGGCAGAAAGTTCACACATACCTTCGATTTGACCCGAGAATCAGAGCTTTTCTTCTGAAAATGACCGTGACAAATTTAGGGGAACACAGCAAGTAGAGATTGCGAAATAAGGGTGATTTTTGGAGTTCCGGAAGTGAGGAATGAGCTGGCTTTGTTGGTTGGCTTGGCTGGTTGGCTGTTTGGCTGATTTGTAATTTTTAAATAGAAAATGAAACAATGGTGAAATTGTATTCACTTTATCAGTGTTCTTTTATAAAAATGAACAATGAAAACAGTAAAAAACTCGATTTTATAACTATTGTAAGAAATATATTTATACTTTTATCTTTATAATTTCTTGTGAGACCGTGTCTCGGCGTGGTTCAATGGTAGATGTCTTGAAAACGCACAATTTATCAAAACTTTCCCTTATTAGGGCAAACTTCGCTCAAACTGGAGCAGCCTGGCACTATCACAATTACTTCAACACTTGCGTGTGAAAAAAGAATTGAATTCATTTGTATACTCTACTGTAAGGACATTTGTGTCAAAAATTTGAAAATTTGTGTCAAAGTTGAACTACCTACCTGGAAGAGTTGATCAACTTAGAGATGGTCTATAACTCAAGATATAGAAGTTGAATCCACTTGTAATTGCTCTTAAAAGAATCCTCATTAAATTTGGTTGTAGAAAAGTAGACTTGCTTTTGTATTCTTATGTATAAAAACATAGAGGAAATTCGTGTTAAAGTTGACCATCCAAAGTATAGGGTATACCCTATCAGGGTTTGGGGACTCTTCTATTTTCCTCCATAACTCGACTTCCAATTGACAGATCGACTCGGGGTTAGTTTTAAAATGTTCTTTATGAAATTTGGCTATAGAAAACCACAATTTCCCTTAGTATACTCTAGTGTAAGAACAATAGAAAAGGAGCACACAACTGACTCAAAACAAAGCTTAAATAATGGGCTTTTAGGTACACAAGCTACGCCAAGCGGACAACTGAATATCGTCTAGTGGCTGATTACGGTAGTTTATCCATCAACTTTGTGATGGATAAACATCAACTTAACTTGTTTATTGAATTTTGACTAACTGCAGAGCAGTGACAATTCGCCACAACCATTCTTATCGTTGAACTGAGAAAATTTTCAGAAAAGCTGTAATGAAAAAGAATGGAAAAGCTTTCAGACATAAGCCAGACATTTCAGACATCAAATTAAGCCTAACAAACTTTTTTCAATATTTCAATTACTCATTTTTTTGTTTATTTTCAATTTCAATAGCTAATTGTTTAAAATTTCATATTCTGATGAAATATTTGAAAATTTTGAAGACTTTAACCAATGTTTGTACTAAAACTTCAAAAATACAAGCAATTATTAAAAATTGAAACAAATGAAATCGTCTTGTAAACAATGAATTTGTTTTAAAATGAATTTGGAAAGATAAAATTCCAGAGTTGACCTGTTGATGGGATTAAAATGACTCTAGTTACCCTTTGAATAGATTAAGATCTATTCTAATCATCACTAATTGAACCCGACTTGGTAATAGGGTCGTACTTGTTAGAGAAAGTTAACTAGTAAGTAAGTAAGTGGGATGAAAATGACTCTAGTTATCCCTTGGAATAGATTAAAATCTTGTTAATCATCACTAATTGAACCCGGCTTGGTAATAGAGTCGTACTTGTTAGAGAAAGTTAACTAGTAAGTAAGTAAGTGGAATTAAAATCACTCTAGTTACCCCTTTCGTTTTCCAGTTAAGTGAAATTTGTTCCAGAAAAACGGGATTTATTGTTTCTTTTCGAGAAAACGGATTACTTTAGTTATAAAATTCATTGAGAAACAAGAATAGAAACTTTATTTACAATAAATATAGAAAATGATAAGTTTTCATGATGCATTGCTGTTCAGGAGTCAGCATTGGTGTTCAGGAGTCAGCATTGTTGTTCAGGAGTTAGCATTGGTGTTCAGGAGTCAGCATTGCTGTTCAGGAGTCAGCATTGGTGTTCCGGAGTCAGCATTGGTGTTCAGGAGTCATCATTGGTGTTCAGGAGTCAGCATTGGTGTTGAGGAGTCAGGGGTTGGTGAATTGAAAACTGCCGAGCTTTGAACTAAAATTTATTCAACACAAAACCATCAATTCATTCAAGTAATTTCCATTATTATTGACGACTTCTGCCCATTTTACAGGCAAAAGCAAACACAGCATCGGATTTGCTATGACCGATAGGCGTTTGTATCTCATTTTGCTGTTTAAAAGTCTCGGACCTTCTTTGAAGCGTTCCGTTGTTAGACGAACTACTGCGATTTCTCACCCTCCTCCTGTTTTTTCCAGTGGTAGACCAAAGCAGCAAAAAGATTTTTGATCATTTAGATTTCTTCGTCTTTTAACCAAAAAGAACAAAGGTCTAGAAGACTCTCAACCTTGTCATTAAAGGGACGAATAGATCTTCTCTCCTTCAATTACTCAACATTCAATTCTTGCAAAAACTTGGAAATATTTACTAAAACCAAGTTTCAAGTTGTTTTTTTATTGATTTGTTTTTGCTTCCAACTATTTGAGTTACAAACAAATTCTCAAAGATGTACGAGCCACCGTATTTCTACATTTGGTACGACCGTTTCCTCGTGCCGATCTCGATTTCATTGAACTCATTTGTCATGTATTGCATTGTCCACAAGACGCCGCCTGAAATGCGTGAATATAAGCCACTGCTCTTGGGTGTCAGGCATGTTCGATTCAAGTTAAAGAAAAAAAATTCTCTATTATCTAACAGAATAAGATCAACCAAAGTGGCTTTCAAAAGAGAAGCTCACAATTTTTCAAGTTAACTGGAAATCTAAATCCCACACTAACAAACAAATCAAAAAATTGTATTTCTAGATCACTTGTTTCTCATTGGAGCTCGTCTTGCTTTCGATTCAACCAGAGTTTTATTTCCCCGCGTTGGCCGGTCGCGTCTATGGAATTTGGGAGACGCTTTTTGGGTTTGACGCCAAACAGGCTTTTGTAGGTTTTTTCTTCTAACAAGGGAAGGTCAAGTGGATTTGCTAGCCGAATCACATGAGCCATAGACCTATCGCCGTAGAATTTCACGCTGATTCCGAATCTGCTTTCCGTTTTGCTGAACGGCACATCCACTTGACCACTTGATCATGAGACTGCTCTTCTTTTTTGTAACAAAATGGATCAGATCACTTGCAGAACGATCTGGAGTTGTCTTTGGTTTTTGCGGAAAGGTCTAACCAGGGATGGTCAACTGGATGTGCCGGCCAAATCACATTAGCCATAGACCATTCGACGCAGAATTTCCCTCTGATCATGATGCTGCTTTTCTTTTTTTGCTACGGAGCACGCTGTACAAAGTTATACACGTTTAAAATTTTGTAAGGAGTTTTAAAAATCAAACCGCCACATTAAACCCCTGTCTTCTGCCAGCTCGGCAGTTGCAGCGGTGGCCGAGTGAGCCGGTGAGTTAGAACGCCAGGCAAGTCTGGTAGCTGCCAGAAGGTGGAAGGCGAGGGCTCTCTGGTTCGAGTCTGATAGTTGATTGTCTTTTTTCTTTAGGTCTTAATGCCTTGATGGTCTTAATGCATTAGTTGTTTGCCAGATGCCATACGATTGTGTGCGATACACATAAAAGAACATGCAAGGCATTAAAAGCTAAAAAAGATAAAAAGAAAAACTACCGGTCTCGAACCGGATAGTCCTCGCCTTTCGTCCTAATCTCAGTACCACCCGCCCACCGCTGCAACTGCTGAGCTCACATAGAGCTTGGCTGGCAGAAGACAGGGTTTTAATGTGGCGGTTTGATTTTTAAAACTCCTTACAAAACTTTAAACGTGTATGACTTTTTACAGAGTGCTCCGTAGCAAAAAAGAAAAGCAGCACCAGGATCAGCGTGAAATTCTGCGTCGAATAGTCTATGGCTAATGTGATTGGCCAGCACATCCAGTTGACCATCCCTTGTAAGTTCACTGGCCCAGAGGAGAAGGAGAAAAGGGGACAGACCGATTGAACATCTGGTCGATCAGTCAATCAGCTGAATACAAAATGGAAAGGAGAAGGAAAGATTTTGACAGCCAAAAAACGATTTTTGAGTCGTCAAAACCGTATACCGTATTTTCTGTAATAGTAGTGCGCACTACTATTTTTTCAAGCCCCCTCCAGCCTGCACTACTATTACAGACTACACTACTATTATAGACTGCACTACTATTACAGAAAATACGGTAGTCGTTTTTGTGAACTCAGATTTACTATTTGATGAGATGCTCAAAATTCCATCGATCAAGACTGAACGGTGGCATTTATCTGGAAAATATCTGGCAATATCAAATAAGTTTTTCAGGCAACTGGAGCCTTTTGGGTGTGCGCATCGGTCACCACCCTTACTCAAGTATTTTCTACAAATGGCAGAACTTGCCGCTGGATTCGAGCCGTTTCAAGTAAATCTTTAACATTTCAGTCGTTCAATCTAGAAACCATCATAGATTTGGCCTACTCGGTCAACTCTTTGGTTTTGGATCATTCATATTATGTTTGCCGTTTGGTTTCTGCTGGCAATTGAGATAGTTCCGTTGGAGAAAGGTGGAAAGGCATCCGGCTATCTTTTGGGAAATGGCCAAGGTTAGACTCGGGAAAATCTTTTAGATTTATCTCAGCAAACCCTCGCGAATCTCCCACATTCCAGCAATTCCCCTCATTCGACGATTTCTCGCCAGACGATAGTATTTACGTGAGATGCGCTGCGACCAATGTGGCCTCCGTATGTGAATTTGAGTGCAGTCATTTTCTCTCTGTATCGGCATCATTCTCTACGTCTTGACTACGGTCTTGCAGGTAGAATATACCGTATTTTCTCTAATAGTAGTGCAACCAGAGCGTCGCCTAAATTGCTCGAAATCCTCGAAAACCGCTCATGAGAACCTATTGATGTGCGGTCGGAAAATGTGGCTGATGATGGGATCTTGTGGGGAATTAGAGTGTTCAACTTCTGCAAAGCTTGGAATCCGTAAAATAGTCACCAACTCGGCTCGCTGGAAGCACTACTATTAGAGAAAATACGGTATGATCAAAACATTTGGTATATTTTGGTTAGGCGACCATGTGGCTAAAGAATTTGAATCTTAAAAACTAATTAGTATATAACTTTCAACATTTACAATTAAATTTTTATTAAAAAGGATTTTTGGCATTTTTAAAAAGGAAAGTCCTTAAAATCAGAGCTTAAGGGCCAATAAGCACTTAAAATATTGCGGTTGGTGAATTGAAAAGCAAATGTCATTTAATATGGCAATATTGAGAGTTACGGGAAATATTGAAATCGAATGAGCAAGTGATTAGTGTGTCCGTGAAGAAAATATTGAAAATATTGAACTTGAAAAGCCTTTGCGACTGATCAGACATGTCAATTCGCCATTTTTTGTTATGTAGTGCGCAGAGTAGGGAAGAGTGGTGGTTGAAGCCGACTGGAAGAGTGGTAAAACCAGGAGCATACCACTGTCCTAACCGAGCCGCTACGCTGTTTCCGACAAAGGCAATCGTAATATACCGCGCTCAGTGCACTAGAGGGTCAAATTTCAAAATGCATTTACAGAAATTCAGAATGTTTGAGCAATAACTAAAAGCGCCATCGTATTACCCTTGCAATTCGACTTGCGTAAGTTCCTTGGCTTTGGTTCGGATTTGGCTCCGATTTGGCTCGGAATCGCGAAATCTGGCTTCCCCTAGTTATTGGGTTGGTGAATTGAAAACTGCCGGTTATTGTCATATGTGATGGGAAGTTGAGCACTTTCTTAAAAAGAAACCCATTTTGGTGTCAATGGAAAAGTTGTAGAGAATCAAAAATTAAGCTTATATCCGGCATTTGTGAACGATTCTAAAACTGGCTTTCAAAAATTCCAAATTTACGATTTTCGCCAAAACTTTTATTTTAAGCGAAACTACTACGTGTATCTTTTTTGGAAATTTGGCTATAAGCCTAATTGTTGATTCTCTACGGCGATAGGCTTCCGGCGGCTCGGGTGATTTGGCTGTAATTCCACTTGACCTTCCCTTGTTGGAGAAAAAACCTACAAAAGCCTGTGTTTGGCGTCAAACCCAAAAAGCGTCTCCCCTAAATTTCCATAGACGCGGCCGGACCAACGCGTGGGGAAATAAAACTCTGGTTGAACTCGAAAGCAAGACAAGCTCCAATGAGAAACAAATGATCTTAGAAATACAATTTTTTCATCGGTGTAGGTTTTTCATCAGTTTTTCATTGGTCTTCTAACAATACTGTGTAGCTATAATTATGCCGCACTTTTTATAAACATTTGAGTAATTCTTTATCCAAAGTGAGCATTTTGGAAACTCAGCGGATGGTTAGCAAATAAAAGTTGACGTGATTTCCGGCATAAACATTGACGGTTTTGAAATGTTCGTCACTTATTAAACAAAGAAAATATTATGCAAGAAAACGTTACGTTTCTTTGCCTCCTCTTTTTCCGATAAGCTTCTCCTTTGATGCACGGTCATCGGCAAACTGCTTATTCAGCAAATGTACAAATGGCTCATTTGGGGAACTCAGCAACTGATTAGCAGCTCAGCAACTGATAAAAGCCTAAGGTTGATTCACTCGACGACAAATCTGTGTTTCTGTCTCAAATCTGACAAAATGGAGTCCCCGAGGCATACACTGAGGTGAAATAAAACTTTTCATTGTCTTGAAAGATTTTTACGTAGAATTATCGATGAGAGCTATGAATCGAAGAGCCGTTTCTACAAAATGCTCTCAATTTTTGCGATTCTTTGGAATCATCCGCCTCTCAAGTATCAAAGCATTCACAGATATCCGGGCGATCCAGAAGCGAATCAGTACCCTACTTTAACTTCATTTTGATAAATTAGGTTTGCTTTACGAAAAAGTCATAAGTCATTTTTTGCCAATTCAATTGTGCGCTGTCTCGAAAAGCCCCAAAAAAGTTTTTGAATCTTTGTTTTTCAGTCGACCGAGAAACACCGATGATGATGGTCAAGTTCTTTTGGATGTTTGTCGAAACCGAATGTTTGTTCATATTTTAGGCTATTATTAAGAGAAAATCTTCTCGTTTCCAGGCATCGTTTGAATGGAAAATCCGGGGAAAGGTCTGGAATTTCTTGATTTTATTGGGTTGAGTGAATTGAAAGCATGGGACTTTGACTAAAATTTATTCAACATAAAACCATCAATTCATTTCAAATAATTTCCGCATTATTATTGACGACTTCTGCCCATTTTACAGGCAATTTGCAGTTCTCTTTCGTAACCTAGGATTTTGGTTTTTTGTAATGAACAAAATCTTGAGACTCAAAAATGGAGGACTGGAATGTCAGCTGTCAGCCCAGTTTGAGCACTTTCTTCAAAGAAACCCATTTTGGCGTCAATAGAAAGTTGTAGAGAATCAAAATTAGGCTTATAGCCAAATTTCCAAAAAAAATTCACTTGGTTTCGCTTAAAATGCAAGTTTAGAAAGGTGTAAATTTAGATTTCTTGAAACCAGTTTTGAATTGTTCTGAAAATTTGGATATAAGCTTTAATTTTGATTCTCTACAACTTTTCTAATGACACCAAAATGGGTTTCTTTTGGAAAGTGCTCAAACTGTCCCCTGACCATGGCGCGCAGTTTTCAATTCCCCAACTGACAACAAGTCAAGCATTTTACAGGGATGAGAAACTTCTCGAGAGCACTGCTGAGATCGAGGCTCAAAAAAGATACTTCAATGAAAGGTTTATCACAAAAGTGAAGATCGTAAAGATCTCCAATTTAGCTTGATGAAATGGGAGCAACAAATCCTGAGCTCAAATCGCAAATCGCGAGCCAACAGAGAGAAGTGTCAGTTATTTTCTAGAACCACCCACTCATGACTAACTTTTTTCGGCCAAGTAATGCAATCAGCATAGCCGAAGTGTCCAAATTGTGTCCCCGATTCTCCGTGTCCAAGTGCTTGGGTCTACTCGTCAAAGTTGAAGCAGTGCTACAAGGTTTGATGATTAAAATAGTTATTTCTTGTTTGTTGTTTCTCGAAAACTCGGCTACCCGTGAGCTGTGTCTTAAAATGAGCGGTGAGCTTTCAGCGCATTTTTGACGTCGATTTTGCGACTGCTGATCGAACTTGCCGCTTGATGAACTCGCATTTGGCCTCAATTCATTCCGATGAGGAGAACGAGCTGCTTCTGGGTATGCTGAAGTGAAAAAAGGGCGGCGGCTTCTTTTTCCGATAGTTCCGAATGATAATTTAGGGATTCGCAAGTGTACAGATGTATTATAGTTACCTTAAAAGTTGATTATGTTACCTAGGCCCAGTTTTTCGTATAGCTTAACCTTCGGGTTTTACCAGAAACTTTTGTTCACAAGTTTACACTTTTTTTACAAGCCTAAGACCTCAACTAATAGACTACTTTATCCGATTCTATCTGTCCAGAACGATTCAGCAATTAACTGATAATTCTAATACTAAGTACTTCCACAAATTCCACTTGCAGCCATAAAACTTACTTTACATAACAGACACTTAATAAATCACTTAATAAATCAGATTCGCCACCCTGTTACTAATTTCAGATCTCGGAAGAGCCGGTACGACAATGCCCGAGTGGCGACTGGTGCCCTTGATCGGAGGAAAGAGGGTAAAACTAAGCCCTCAACGAAACATTCACGATTCTAGACGGGTCCCGGCAAAAACGATTGGGATTTGGGTGGACGGAAGCCCGTTTAACTACACCAAATGGTCGGCCGGACAACCGGATTTCGCCGCAAATGTCGAGTCTTGTCTTCAGGTGGGGAGGCTTTTGAGACGCAAACGAAATTAATTGCAGCTCTGGCCGGATCGGATGGCTGGCTTCGGCACGGACACCTATCAACTCAACAAATGGAACGACTACGTATGCGACCTTCGCTATCGAGTGGCGATTTGTAAGCAGCCGGCCAAATATTGAAAATGAAGCTTTGCTCTACTCGTTATTGTCTCCAAATCAGATTCTTCTTCGGAAAAATAACGTTTAATTTGTTTCCGTTTTGTAATATCGTGTTAATTCAAGGCGAATCCGATTAAAATTTTTCAGTTGCTCTCAAATGCAAAAAAAAAGTGATCCAACGATCCTATCCGGTTCCGAGAACTTCGAGTAACTGAAAGTCTAATATAAATATTAGACTGATCTTATCAATCTATCTGATTGCGTAATCACCCGTCAACTAGCACACTGCCTGCACATAAGACCTCCGTTCTTGGCAGTGGGCCTCTTTCAACGCTTCAGATGCTCGTCGATGAATTTGGACTCAAGTCTGATCGCTCTTCTCTCACTCGAAGTGAAGCTGAAGTGAAGCTGAAGGGTGTCTTCTCTCGTCTTCTCCACCAAGCCGAGTAATAAAAAAAGAACAATAGAGAACGCACATTCTGTGGCTTTGCAAAAAAAGGACCTGGGACCGAGCCAAACCAGTGACCCTGGGACTACCAGAGGTCGGGCTTCTAACCACTCGGCCACTCCGCTAGCTGGCCACTTCGCTAGCTGTCCAGTGCCTCTGAGAGTTTCTTTTAAAGAGTGTCGTATATTATGATAGCGGATTCGTTCTCAGCCTCACCGTGTATTGTGATAAGTTGTGTACTCATATTTTTGCTTGTCTTTACGACTGTCTTCCAATTGGTGTTTGAGATGAATGTTTTCTAAAATTCGTAATCTATTAGGTTGTTCGGATATAAACGAGCGTTTGCAATGCTTAACTCGTGAGGAAGCCATTTCCCGCATTTGATCGCCTTTCCAATGGCGTGCAGATGCTCATCAATAGAATTTGAACATAGAAATTGTTGAGCAAGTTCACACGTCGTTTGACATGAATTCGATTCGATTGCAGCCCGCAAAACATCGTTGTCTACCGCTTGAGGTAGACAACGATATTCTTGACGACAGTGTTCATGATCCTCGAGACTTTCATCACCATTCCGAAAGCGTTGGAACCAGGCTC